TTCCCTATCTCCCATAGCCCCCACTCAGGGCTCAGGTTCACCCACACTGGCCATGGCATACTAACACAAATTTTATTTTTGAAAATTACAGAAAATTCACTGAAGAAACAGTTATGGCCCACAGCAAGTGATAAAAGCAAACCTACAGAAGGGGAGAATGAAACCTTATTTCCAGAGTTAGCAATCCATCCATTGAAAATATTCAGCTTATTAGAAATTATAGCTTCTTCACAGAAAACATTAACAAAAATCTATCCCTGGGGAATCATAGGCAATTTTACTTATTGAAGGCTTTAAATCCTGTGCCTTAAATATTCTCAAAGAAGAGCTGAAAAACACCATAGACAAGGGGTAAAAATCCCCAGAAAGACAATGTATTAACACATAGAAAATAAAAATAAGTAAATGAAAGTAATAAAAGAACAAAACAAAAATTCTGTTGCTGAAAAGTATAATAATTGGTGTAAGAATCCTCACGAGAGGATTTCAACAGCAGATTGGAGGAAGCAGAAGCAAGAGCTGGTGAACTAAGAGCTAGATCATTTGAAATTATTCACTCTGATGTGAGGAAAAAAAACAGGAAAAAAAGGGAAATGAATACAATGTTTAAAGTGATGAAAGAATTTTTAAACACTCTAAACCAAGAGTCATGCTTAATTCAAAAGTATTCTTCAACAATGAAGAAGAAATTAAGACATTGCCAGATAAACAGAGGAGGTGAGAGTCAGAGGCTGACAGATCACCCCATGAGAAGTGCTCATGGTAGCCTTGCAGGCTGAAATGAAGGACAGTAGACATCCACTCAAAGCCATACACCAGTCAAGGCAACTAAACAGATAAACACAAAATCGCACATTGGTGTAATTTTGTCAGTAACTGTTCAAATCTTTTCTGGTATGATTTTCCTCACCTTTGAGGGGATGAAAGCATTTTAGAACTCAGTGTAGACAGATGGCTACTGCACAACACTGTAAATGTGCTCGCTTAGTCACTTTCCGTCACCAGGGCACAACAGCCAATTCTCACACATTAGAGGAGGAAAGATTTATTTCAGCTCACGGTTGGTAGAGGTTTCAGTCCATGGCTACCTGGCTCCAAAGCAGGATGGCACAGCAGAGGGCACTGCAGGGAAGGGCTGCACATGGCATGGTAGAGAGAAAACAGAAGGAAAGAGATAAAGGGAGCAGGGAGAGAGAGAGACTCTTCTACTGGGACCCTTTAAATGTTACTGGAAACCTCTGCACCAGGCTCCAGTCTCTTGCCCAGTGGACATTAGAGGCCTGAGGAAAGAAATTGCAAGACAGAACTGAGACACCCAAAGCAGGGGCCAGGATGGATGACCCATGCCAGTGCAACCAACAAAGGCTCTGGTCAGTCCAACACACTGATTTTTAATGGCAATCAACTGGGGTAAAGACAAGGTACGTGTAAGGGCAGAACTACAGGTAAGGATGTGTGTAGTGTGGCTTCTATGGAAATTAATGTAAGCAAGCCTTGTAAAAGACAAGACAAAGCATTCTTGAATTAGAAACAGAATAAATAAAACATATGGTCATATTTAGAAGATTGTCCTTCTAGTTAAGAAGGTTTTAGTTGTGAGAATGGAATTTGGGTGTGAATTACTCTGACCTCGACACATAGGCTTCTGCTGGACTCATTTCTATAAACAAGCCAGCTGTGGGGTTCACTCTTCACAGCCTGAGCTGCTTACAGCCTGCTTTGGGCATAATTAATATTGTGGTCTCCCAAACCCTTCCAGGCCACACCCCCGGTGAGCCACTTCTTTTGATCAGATCAGATTTAGTATTAAATTCATCAATGGATTAATCCACTGGCAACAATCAACCCTTATGACCCAACCACCTCCCAAAAGCCCCACCTACGAACACATAAAGCTTTGGGGAGATGTCGAAGTATAAATGGTAATGTGTATTAAATGACTGAATTCTACATTTTAAAATGGTTAATTTCACCTTCTGCAAATTTCATCTTAGTAATAATTTTTAAAAGTTGAATACTGAAGTATTCAAGTATTATTACTGTGTCATCAGTTTCTCCGTTCAGTTATATCAGTTTTTCTTCATATATTCTGAATCCCTGTGTTTAGGTGCATTTCTTTTAATAACTGTTAAAACTTCTTGAAAGACTAATCCATTTATTAGAATACATTTTTGTCACTAGTAACATTTGTCCCAGGTAGATCTTCTCATATATTACCATTACAATGACATATTCTCTCAACAGTTTTTAAACACTTGCATAGTGTACACTTTTTATCCACTTAATTTTAACCTATTTATGTTTTGAATATAAATTTGAATTCATTTTTATAATCTCTGCCTTGTAATTTGAATATTTAAAATATGCACACTAAATATAGAATTGCCATCTGATATCATTTGATAATCTTTATAGCTTATGTTTTCTTTTTTATCTTCTAGTCCTCCACTGCTGCCTTCTTTGTCTCAAGTAGATATTTTCTTATCTGCCATGTTAATTGCCTGTCATCTATTTTACTCTATTTTTAGTCATTTCCTTAAGGGCTGCCTGGGAGTTAGAATAATTTTCCTAAGTTGATTTTTATAAAATTGTGTTTCCAGATTTTTATCACAGCCCTTTACTTTTTTATTTGTTTTATGGTATCAAAGTTTAAAAAATCAGATTCTACATTTAATGGTATATTTTCTGACACTATAAAAAATGTCCAGCTACTTTGTTTTGTTGGTCTGAACGAAGTAAAATCTTCCCTTGCACAGACACATATTCATTACTGTTAGTTGAGTTGTATCACTTTGTTTCTGGAACATGTGTAGTAAAGTTTAAGGTGATATTTTCATTTATCCATTCTATGTCTTCACAACATAAAGTGACTATGACTGAAAGGTATTTTATGACTTTCTCAAAGTCAGGAGGGGATGGGCCAGCAATCAATAGAATCAAGATCTTCTAATAAGTCAGATAAATATTGATCAAAAGCCTCCATCCCTGAGTCAGTGAAGCCTGAATAAATAAGGCTCTCTTTTAAAAACAGATATATGTTTATTGAAAAAAATCCCCTTTTTTCATTTAATCTTTAAGTTTTTAGGAACTTGGTATAAGTGTTGGGACATATGGGGGAGAAGTCTGTCTCCCATCATTTTGGCTAGACTGGGTTGCCAAAATTTCATGATGGATTCTATGCAATTTATTTTTTATTTGTTGGCCTGTTCCAACTTGATAAAAATAATATATGTTAAAATAAGTTAATGTTACATTCTTTTATGTCTAGTGATCAAGAACAGGAATTTGAATCCACAAAGATCTTTTGAAGTTACCCTTGGCATTTACCATCCTTTCCCCCTTTACTTTGCCATTTTAGTACAGGAGTGTTTATGGAGGAAATCAGATTCACTATTTACAGAAGCCAATATATTTGTGGTAGCAGTGCAAGCCCAATTGCCTCCTCTGACAATGTGGTAAGATGAGGATATTGGATTATGTTTGTAGCCAATTATAAATGTCATGGTTGAATACTCACTCTTGTAACATTATGCAAAGATAAGACATCCCAGTGCTGAAAATACTTCATAGGGATCTTTTGTGGAGTTAGGAGTAAATTAGGGCCTTTTTCCATAAGAATGAGAAATTGATGGGGATAAAACAATAGGAAAAATCTTACTCTTATTATTAAATATTACCACCAGATTATAAGAACTAATGTTATTGATAGAAGAAACTATGGTGAAATAGATGAAATATTTGGTTGAAAAATCAATAGACCCAAGTACCAATTTTGTTTATGTTGCTTCATCTGTTATAATCTCTCTCATTTGAAAAGCAAAAATAATATCTATATAATGAGGGTCACATAAGGCAATACATATGGTGGATTTTGAAAGAATAAATCATAAAGTATAAATTAGAAAATAAAATTATAATTTTATTTTCTAATGCTTTTTCTGAATCTGATTTAAATTCTAGTATGGGCAAATTTTACTTTATACATTAGAAGTATCCCAGAGGGAGGACATATTTATAAAAAGAATATTTGAGAAACAAACATCATTTAAACTGTACTAAAAATAGGTAGAATCTCTCTCACTGCCCTTGTATAAATATTTTATAAGGGAGAACAGAATTTCTAATGACCATGGAAATTTTAAGATTTATGTGCCAGAAAAGAAAATACTCACCATTATTGGACAAATTAACAATAGTAGAGAGGGGTTTTTAAGGAATTTAACATTGGGTGTCAAAACTAATAATAATAATAAAAGAAACAATCAAGGGAGTAATTGTGAACACCAAGACTAAAGAAAAAAACTCAATTCTTTGTCTCCTACCATCATTTCATGCTCACAATCACCACAGCTCAGCTCTGGTTCAACAGTGGCAATAGCTAACCCTTCTAACACTTCTTGGGGTGTATTATCATGCCCAATTCACAATAAGAAAACTCAGGCTCAGCAGGGCTATAGAATTTCCTCATAGTAACACAGAAAGTGAGAGCTGTACTCTATTTGAGTTGCCTATCATTTTACTTCTTTGTGTTAGCCAAAGAAGTTAGATATTTCTTTTTAAAATGACCACTGCTTTCCACTCTGTGACCCATGCATATCTAATCCAACTTCTTTATCTGATTTTTCATCACAGGAAATGTTTTTGATTACATAATTGAAGGAGAAGGCTAGAAATTCCCTGAAGGAATCACAGTATGGCAAGAGCAAGTTTCAGTGGAGCCTCCTCCATTTCTCACTAAGATAGGAAAACAGAACTAGATAATAGGTTCCTGGATCCTCTCATGATCTCTGTGAGATTGCTGTGAGGTGGGACAGACACAGTGAGTGAATATTGTTACCTTACCATTGCCTGAGGACATACGGACCAGCCCTCCAGTGCAACGGGTGTTTTTATATCTTTTGTATAACCAAAATTAATGAGAAAAAAACTCATCCTTAATCACAATGAATCCTTTGGTCCATGATGCTTGAAACTTACCTTTAATCAAGAATAGCCGTGGGCATGAGCATCAAGCAGTCTAGTTGGTAAAGCTGTTAGACTCTCTGAAACCACACTCAAGATGATTTTTCTGTAATTCTAAACTGTCCCCCATCATATCTGCCATGTAGCATCACTTCCCAGGCCTGAAAAAAAAAAAAAAAAAAAGATTCTGTACATGAGACTAATGTGACAAATCAGTTGACCACAAGACAAAGAGGTTATCTGAGTGGGTCCAACTTTATCACACATGTCCCTTAAATACAAAGAAGTTTCTTTTATGCTTATATTATTTATGCACGATATTGAGCTTCACTGTGCCATTTTCATACATGAAACAAAAATTCCTTCATCTCGTTACAGGAAAGCAAGTCAGGGAACTCAGAAGTGTAAGAGAAACTGGAAATGAGGTGAGTTCTATAGAACTGAGATGGAAGAGCTATGAGGCAAGGAACTGAGGTCCCTCTGGGAACCGAGAGTGGTTCTCAGTCAGCAATCAGCAAGAAAAGAGGGACATCAGTCCTACAACCACACTGAATTGAATTCTGCCAACACACTGAATGTCTTGAAACATGATTACCCAAGGACCTTCAGATAAGAACCCAGTGTGCTGTTATGGCTGTGCCTAGATGTCCTCCAAAACCCTCATGCAATTGTAGGCGGGGCTTTTGAAGAGGTGGCTAAATTTAGTGTGTGACTGATTCACGGGACAATGCTAGGCTCAAGGGCCACTAGGATTAAAGGTATGAGTACTATCTGCCCTAAGTAGTCTAGATAAGATAAAAGGTGTAGAAAGACACTATTAAGGCACTTTGTTGCTTTGCTGCATTTGGTCCACAATGAACTGTTGCCCCTCTACCATGTGCCACTCTTGCCTTGGAGCCAGCAAACTATGGGCTGAAACCCCTACCAACTGTGAGATAAATAAACCTTTCCTCCTTTAATTTTGGTTGTGAGGTGTTTTATCTCAGCAATGGGAGAAAAATAACTAACACATAATTTAGTACCAAGAGTGGGGTCATTGGTGTGACTACACCTGATTATGTGGTTCAGGAAGCTTTGGGAATGGCTTGTGAGAAGAGTTTGGAAAGTTTCACAGCACCACCTAAAAAAATAGAGCTGGAATGCCTTCAGCTATACTGTATGGAAGAGTCTGCTCAGAGTTCAGAAGACCAGAAAGCTAGTAAAGACCAGGCTTGGGAGGTTTCTACTGGGAAGGATTGCATCAGCTGCTGAACTCCAGAAATATGTGTTATGCCTTGGTAGAAAGTTTGTCTGCATTTTGCTCATGTCCAGAGACTTTGCCTGAGACTGAGATTATGAGCAGCAGACTTATGAATCCAGTAGAAGAAATTTCAAGGCAGTCTAATGTTGAGCCAGTGGCATGCTGGGGTCTTTTAACCAGATTTATGTTGAAAATCAAAAACAGAGAGCTCAATGGAATGATTTTAAATGCTTTGAGTTTGGCCAGAAAGAAAGCTCCAGTAAAACTATGGACTGCAAAGATAGAGCAGAGGAAATCTTAACTGCTGAGAAGGAACAGGAGAATATAAAATATGACCAGAGGGAATCACAAGAAATAGCAGAACCCAACCCTTTGTAGCCTCAAAGTTGGAAAAATTGAAGACTGCTTTGAGAAGAGAGCCCCAAAGTACCTTACTCCAGAATGGCAATGGCCTAGGGAATTTGTTCCTCAGGATTGGGTTCAGAGTGCTCAGTAATCCAGGCATTTGACCCCTGCAGCCGAGAGAGAAGGAAGCCTGACTACTGCTCCAGCTGACAGCAAGCAAACCTTGGCATTATCCATGTGGCACTGGTTTTAGGTGCACACAGAATATCAGAGTTGTGGGTTCAGAAGGTTCCACCCAGAAGAAGGCCTGGGAGGCCTGGCAGTGTGCCCCTAGGAGGGTAGTGTGAAAAGCAGTGAGTGTGAAGCCAGTAGTGCAGTGGAGGCCCCAGGTTGGAGAAGCCAGAAATATGGAATGTCTGAGGAAAACTGCAAGGAGGGAACAGAGCAAGCCCAAAAGAGAAGCCATGGGAGCTGCAACCACCAGCAGAGCTAAGGGGTAGAGTCACCCTAGCCCTTCAGAGTTCACAACTTACCACAGATTGCCAGGGATGATGGAAGCGGAACTGTAGGAGTTCATGTTTACCCTGTTGGATTTTTGTCTTGCTTTGTTTCCAATGCTCACTATCTCCCTGTTTGTAACTTTTGGAATGGAAATTTCTATCTTGTGCCATTAAATGTTGGCAGTGTTTAACTTTCTTTGCATTTGTAGTGGGAGTTGAAGCAGAGAATTTGCCTTAAGTCTCAGAAGAAATATTGGATTTTGACTTTTCAGCAATACTGAAACTTTTAGGACTTTGGCAACTCTTGGAGATGAATTAAATGCCTTTTGTATAAAGGGATGCGCGTGAGTCTTTGGGGGATCAGGAAAAGAATGTTAAGGCCTGTGTCTAGATGTCCCCTCAAAGCCTTATGCACTCACAGGTGGGGCTTTTCAGAGACAGCTGAATTTAGGCAAATTAGGCTAAAGAGCATTAGGATAAAGGGTGTGAATGCTGCCTGCCCTGAGTAGTCTGGGTAAGATAAAAGCAGCAGAAAGATGCTGTTAAGGTTCCTTGTTGCGTTTGCTGTTTTCCATCACCATAAACTGTTGCCCTCTACCATGTGCCACTCTGCCTTGGAGCAGCCAAACATGAACTGAAACCTCTACAAACTGTGAGCTAAGTAAGTGTTTCCTCCTTTAACTTTGAGCTTCAGGTATTTTGTCCCAGCAGTGAGAAAAGTAACTAAGACAGATACCTAGCACATTTCAGCCTTACTAGAGTCTAATCAAAGAAACCAACCCCACAAGGACCCAAGTTCAATCCCCTGTACCAAAAAAAACAAAACAAAGAAACCAACTGCACTGTGCCCAGACTTCTGACTCACAGAATTGTGAGTGAATGAATAATTTATTACAGATCAATAGAAAACTGCCAGATGCAGTCGCAGAGGATCTTCTTAGAATCACGCACCCTACCTGGTCCCAAAGACCGAGGACTTAGAAGGCCTCACCCTCTCATGGGAGACCAGAGAGCACACACAGCTGAACATAAGGCAGAGTTATCAGCTTTTCCAAGCATTCACCAAGTTACCCCTAGGTCAAACTGAAAATGGCAGAGGATTTAGTATATCCATAGTGAAAAGTATATACAGCTCCTGAGTGATAAATACCTGACAAGTAAGCAATATCATCTCAAGTTGAGATTATGGAAAAACTTTTAAAATGAGTAAAATACTGAGAAGTAAAATTGGCACTTGCTTAATAAGGAAGACAAATACATCACAGACTTAGTCAGGTAAATAACGAAAGTAACAAGCAAACAAAAACATAAACAAGAACCCTCAGGAAGGAATCAGGATCCAGAGGTGCTATAATGTATTATTTAATATGTCAAGTTGCGAGGAAAAAATTACAAGACACATAGAAGTGAGAAAGTGTAAGTAAAAAAAATGGAAAAAGCAGGCAGTAGAAATTGCCCTGGAAGGGACCTAGATATAAAATGTGGAGACAAAATTCTTCAAAGTAGCTATTAGAAAAATACTCAAAGTAAATCCATCAGGGCCTGGGTAAAAAAAGAAAAGCCATGCATAAATAATGAAAGAAAATATAATAGTTATATATCCAAGATGTACTACCAGTAGAGATAGAAACGATTTTTTGAAAACTATGGATATGTTCCATATGTTCAATATCTCTGCCCATCTGTGAGGACTTCTTATCCCAGTGAAAGCCGTGCATGGCTGTAAAAATTTTTTTTTCTAGAAGGAGAAAATTTCAAACAAATATCTTCACTCTTCTCTCTTTTCGGGTTGATACTTTGAAAAGAGACAAATGTATGTGGGATGAAATGCTTGCTTTTAAATTACTTTCTTTTTCCCCTTTAAGTTTTATTGCTTTCATTATTTTGTAGTACTGCTCCTTTAAACTGATGAGTCTGATTGAGTTGAGGGAAGAAAAAAGTAAAAATTCTCCAGTATCCTTGACCAAAAGAAATCACTACCAGTGTTTTGGCAAGCAGTGCTGTCCACTTTGAAAGGCATGGGTGCCAGCGAACTCAGGTCTCTGGCTGCTAGCGCTGACTTGATTCTGAGAGAAGTGAGTTCATTACCCTTCAGCCTACGCTCCAACTGCTTACCTGGGTCCATAAGGTAGACTCAAACAGCACAGCCCTGCTTCTGAGCTCACATGCAGACAGGAATGGCTCTGAAATTGAGCATGACTTTGCTTTACAGAAATATCTACCCCCAGGGAGAAGTCAAAGCTGGGTCGTCACTGTCACTACCTTGAACTTTCTCCACCTTCTTCTACTTGCCTTCCCGTAAACATGGTAGCGAATACCAGGCTAAGCAAGGGAAAAGACCATTTATAGAGTTAATACCCTAAAATAATAATTAATATCTGGACTCTGAAGAGTTTATGTAATTGTAAAGAACAACTACAGTAGGGAGAACTGTGGAATGCTTGAAAAACTAGGCTTGAGTCTTGACTCAGATCTCTGCCTATTAATGCATAATCTTAACAAGTGACTTTGAGCCTCAGTTTTTTTGGGTATAAAATGAACTATATCATAATATCTAGATTTGTAAAGCTGAGAAACTAGATTGTAAGCTCAAATTTAAAAAAAAATTTAGCTCAGAAGTTCTTGACACACTGACAGCAGAAATCCAGTATATAGTTGGTTCCCTCCTCTTCATGTGAATATTTTGTCACTCCACCAGCAGTGGAGAAAGATGTGTGCTGCTGCTTTCACTACATCTGTGAAATAGGTTTATCTGGAAGGAGCTTCTAGCATCAAGATCTTTCTTTCGGAACTCCATGTTTGTTGTGGACATCAACCATACTCAGCTCATGAAGCCAGACATCTCAGGGCCTCCTAACGAACTGGCTGTGAAAACAAAACTCATATTTTGCCAACAGAGTCTATTCATTTTGGGTTCCAAAGTGCTGTCTGTGAAGACACCAAGAAGCCCAGAGGTCCAGGACTTGAAAACCTGTATTCAGCTGCTGGAGTTACTAGCAAGAAGGAAGAAGAGACAGATAAAATGGCCAGAACACATTCTGAGCCACTCCTGGTGTCTGAAAAAAGTCAACTGCTT